ATCGACGACGCGGCGAGCGCGGCGGAGGGCGACGGCGAGGCCCCAACGGCCATGGCCCGCAGGCAGCTGCTGGAGGCCGCTGCTGGGCGGCAGCGTGTCGCAGGCCATGCGCAGCCGTTCGTGCGGCGGCGTGCGCGCCTGGATCGCGCCTCGCGGGCCGCGGGCGGCGCTGCCCATGGGGCCCCCGCGGAGGGATCGCTGCCCTCCTGGTGGCGAGGGCGCTGCTGGCCAGGCCTTCGACATGGTCGCGGAGGCGCCGGCGCTGGCGGAGCGGTCCCCTGGCCCATGGGCGGCCGCCTGCCTTCATCTACGATGGGAGCGACGACGACGGCTCGTCGCAGGGCGTCGACGAGAAGGAGTTCTCGTACCTCGTCCATGCCCAGCTCATGCAGGGCTACGCGGCGCTCGGGGCGGGTGGCCGAGTTCGTCGTGGAGCCTGTGCCGTGCCTTCACATGGAGGTGTAGAGCAGCGTCGAGGGCTTCGCGGAAGAGGTCGGCGTGGGCCGAGTGTGAGGTTTCACCCGAATTGGGCCTACGTTCAGGGGTCCACGCAGTAGACTTCACACCCAACACTTATGCTAAGATATCTTCCAGTAAGAACTTGAGATCCAGCTTCGCTGAATGTCTTAGCCCTCTTGCGGGAGCCAGCTTTGAAGCGTGCAGTTTCTGAGTGCAACGCGGCGGCAATGCTGGTGGTTTTGAAAAAAATGCGCCGGTGATGATGCCGATTGCGCGGGGCCCGGGGGCTTTGCAGGAACATGTGGAGAAAGATGTGGCGAGGGGATCTGGCCGAAGCCCGGCGGGAAATCTGAAGGACGATCTGGAGAAAGATCTGGGGAATATCTACAGCAGAGGAGAGATCTCGAGGAAGACTCGTGTGCAGATCTGGGTGCAGATCTGGACGAAGATTTGGAGTGAAGATCTGGGTGAAGATCTAGGGGGAGATTTGGGTGAAGATCTGGGGTAATATCTGGAGGAAGATCTGGAGAAAGATCTGGAGGAAGATCTGGAGGAAGTTCTAGAGGGAAGATCTCAAGGAAGATCTGGGTGGATATTTGGAGGGAGATCTGGACAAGATCTGGGGGGAAGTCTAAAGGAAGATCTAGAGGAGAGATCTCGGGTAAATTCTGGGTGAAGATTTTGAGAAAGATCTGGGAAAGATCTGTAGGATGATCTGAATAAAGATCTGGATAACACATCTGGAGGAGAGATCTTGAGGAAGATCTGGGTGAAGGTCTGGTTGAAGATCTGGAGAAGACTAGGGGGAAGATGTGAGGGAAAGTCTGGAGGAAGAGCTGGAGAAACATCTGGTGGAAGATCTGGGGGATATCTAGAGGAAGGATCTCGAGGAAGACCCGGGTGAAGATCTGGGTGAAGATCTGGGTGAAGATCTAGGGGAAGATCTGGGTGAAGATCAGGGGTAAAATCTGAAGGAAAATCTGAAGAACGATCTGAAAGGAGATCCAACGTAGAGATCTCGGGGAAGATCTGGGTGAACATATGGAAGAACATCTGGAGGACGATCTGGAAAAAGATCTGGTGACGACCTAAGCACTAGGATGATCTAGAGGAAGATCTGGGGAGAAGATCTGGAGGAAGATCTGGGGAACATCTAGGAAGATCCAGGGAAGATCTGGAGGAATATATTGGGAAGATCTGGAGAAAGTTCTGAAGGAAGATCCGGGGAAGATCTAGGAAGATCTGGTGAAGATCTGGAGGAAGATCGGGGGGGGACACCGAAGGGGAGATCAAGAGGAAAGTCTGGAGGAAGATATGAGAGAACATCCAGAAGATCCGGGGGAAGATTAGGAATAATCTGCCAGCGTTAAGAAACTGGGCCAGCTTTTGGGAATTTGTTGACGAAATTAGAGAAAATGTGTGAGACCCAGCTTGGCGGGAGGGAGCTTCATAACAGATGATATCAGTGTAATGCACGACCCTTGTGCGTCCAGTTTCACCTCATCTCTCTCCTTCTCCTCTTCTCCTGCACCTCATCCGCCCCCCACCCCAACCAGCAGCGAGCACGCACCCAGGGCCAGGGGAGGGGGAGGAGGAAGAAGGAGGAAGGAGGAGGAGTGACTGTACCCCAGAGGGGAAGGAGGAGGAGGGGGAGGGGGAGGGAAGGAGGAGGAGGGGGAGGAGGAGGAGGAGGAGGAGGAGGAGGAGGAGGAGGAGGAGGAGGAGGCGGAAGAGGAGGAGGAGGAGAGGAGGAGGAGGAGGAGGAGGAGGAGGAGGTGGGATGGGGGACGGGAAGGAAAAGCGGGGGGGGGAGAACATCGACGATTCGAGCCCTTGCGACACTCGACCTCTCGACATCTTCCCGACGACCAACTGGTGATATCCGAACTTCTTGCTTGGCCCATCGACAATGGAAATGACCCCGATGGGATGCCGATTGTGGGGGGCCCAGAATTAGTCACCACCACCACCACTTCCCTCGCCCCTTCCCTCTCCCAGGAAAGAGAGGAAAAGGAGGGTAGGGGAGGGAGGAAGGATCGACGTGTGGTGTTGTTGTTGTTGTTGTGGTTGGTGGTGGTGGTGGTGGTGGTGTATATACTTGGGCCCCCCAGATTGTATGGGAAGCATGCTGGAACACCTCCATATTCCTCCTCCCCCCTGCTAGTTTCGGTTTGCCACTTGGCCCAGCAGGGGCCCGCTTCTTGTTCCGCCCCCCCCATAGTTCCACGCCCGAACTGCTTGAGCAGTTAGACAATTAGACTTACATAGTAACGCTCACAACCCGCCTCGCCCCCCCGTGCGGGCACCGTCGCTGTTGCTGTCGCTGTCGCTGGCGATGTGGCCTGTTCGGCCGGCAGCGCTCCATCGGCCTCGGGCCCCGCGGGCCGCTCTCGGGTCGGAGGCTGCCAGAAAGGTTCGCTGGACAAGGTTGGCTTCGCTGGACTCGAGGTCCCTCCAGCCCGACCTGAGGCACGCCAGCACGACCTGAGGGGCCCCAGCAGCCGTCGAAATCACCCTTCTCGAACCAGACCTTCTCGCCGTCTTCGATCGGGGCCACATCACGAGAGGAGGCCGGGGCGAGAACCAGTCCACGGGGAGCGGTCGGGACTGCTGGGGCCGCGGGCGTAGAGAGCACGCGTCGGCGGGCGTCGGGGCTCGTGGGTGCGGTCGGGACTGTCTTGGCCCCAGGAGCGCCTCTCCTGTCGGGTCGGATCGGGAACACGTACACACTGTGCAGTTCTAATTCTTCGAAAGTGTTTGATTTTCTGGGGGGCCACGATCCTTTCATTTCCAGTTGTTCTATCCTGGGCCTCCTCCTGGCCACTAGGGGGCCAGGAACAATTAGAGCACACTGAGAAATGATAACGATTAGAAATGAACGATGTGTAAGAATCGAGTGAGGCTCAAAGGCCTCCCGAGCTTTCTCCCAGGCCACAGATGGCTTCGCAGAAGGCTGGGGGGGTTCTGAGAGCTTCCTGCGGAAGGCCTGCCCCCCCTTCGTCCTCCCCCCCAGCGTCGGGGAAACGTGAGACTCCAGTAAGCTGTAACTCGGGCTTGCCGACGTTTTTTGACGAGCGCGTCCTGGATTTTGACTGTCCCGTTTTCATGGGATGTCTGCAGCGGGAGACCGCGTCAAATTTCATTGGTTCTCGTCATTTTTATGATGGCCCCCCCATCAGGCCAACCCGAGTTCCCCGTACCCGAGTCTTACGTCTCCCCAATCGGACGGAGAAGGGTGGGGGGAGCGGATTGCCGAGTGTTCTGGGTGCAGGTGCAGCTCGGCCCCACAAACGGGCGCTTTCCTCGATAACCGCGTGCGGGCCTTAATAAAGGTCGCCCCCCTTAACCCCCGAATGTGTTTTTTTGTTGTTCTATCTCTGGCCACCGGGATTTATATGTGGGGAAGGCGAGGAGCCCGAACGTTCTAATCCACGGAAAAGTTGCGGGGATCGAAGTTGCTATCTTGACTACCCAGCTCTCAGGGCCCTGGTAATAGAGGCCTCTTAGATGGGGTCGGAACAGATTGGGTCGGAGGATCGCGCCGCACCGCCGATGCAATGGCGGTGCATCAGCGATGCATCGGGGATGCACCAGCGACGCAACGTCGACGTCGGCGATGCATCGGCGACGTCGACTTGAAGCAAATCGGGCTCCACATCGAGCCGAATCGGCGATGCATCGGCGATGCGGCGCGATCCTCCGACCCTATCTACTCCGACCCCACCCATGAGGCCCAGAAGAACGCCCTCGCCGAGGCGCAGCCTCCGGAACGCACCCCGATGCTCGGAAAGCTGCCGAGAGCCGACGCAAACGGCTGAACACCTCGAACTCTGAGCCCTCGGACCCTCACCCCCCCCGACCTCCTCCTCCTCCGCCTCCTCCTCCTCCTCCTCCTCCCCTTTCCCCGCTCCTCGAGGGCGGCAACTCAAAACTCCTCGGGCGGCTCAGAGATGGGGTCCTAAGGACAAGGTGCCTCAAGCAGTGGTTACATCCACCTTTGGATCCCACCTTAGGTCGAGCATGTCCCCCTACAGGGGGGTTTTGAACTAAAGCTAAAAGATACCCATAAGATATTAAACATGGTCAAGAAATCGTCCCCAGACTAATGTTTGACTATTTTTAGATATACCCCCTGTAGAGGGACAGGCCCGACTTCCCATCACAGCCTCAGGTTTGGAAGTCCGAATCATCCGGGACACCTGCGGTACGGGGATTCACTCTGGTCTGGGACCCCGAGGCGCGAGTCTGCAGCTACCCCTGACCGCCCCAGGCCCCAATGATTCGGGGCCCTGACGGGCCCCCACCCCTCAGGGCTCGGGTGGGTGGTCATGGGGGGTGACCCACCTGGGGTGTGTGAAAAGGGCACCACAGGGGGCCCTTTGGGCCCCCTTTGGAACCACCAAGAGTCCAAAAAGGGACCTGAAGGGCCCCTTTCGGGCCGTGTCCCTTACCCCCCCCAAATGGGTCACCCCCCCAATGACCACCGGCCCGAAGGGCCACATCTTTGAACCGCCGAGCTCCAGCAGGCGGCGCCCCGCGGCCTTCTTGCCAGCGGCGCGGCCGCCGAGAGGGCTCCTGGGGAGGAGGCGCCGCTCTTTCCGCGCGGGGCCCCCACGCCGCGGGATCGGGCGGAAAGAGGCTCGTCGTCGTCGTCGTCGTCGTCGTCGTCGTCGTCGTCGTCGTCGTCGTCGTCGTCGTCGTTGTCATCGTCGTCATCGTCGTGGTCGTGGTTCGTCGTGGTCGTGGTCGTCGTCGTCGCCTCCGGCGGCAACGTCTGGGAGGTGTTCGTTTGAAATACGCAAGGCTAACAGGCCCAATTAAGACGAAGTCGAGACGAAGGCAACATCGGGCGAGGATGTATCGAGAATCTTTGTGTGATCTGGCGACTCTGGAAGATGTCTCTCTGGCGCCGCGGCCTTCTCCGGGTGTTCTGGAATGCTCCGAGAGCGTTCCAGAACGCTCTGGAACTGATTCCTCCTCGTCCTAGCCTTGTGGATGCCATGGTAATGGACACTCTGGCAATTGTGTTTCAACTGTGTAAAACATGTATTGAAAATGTTGCAAACCTGTTTTTACATATTAAAACCATATTTGTAACATGTTTTAGACATCTGGAAATTACTTGGCAGCATGCTTCCTCTCCATTAGGCGGCTTCCACAATCCTAGCCCCGTCCGGATCAAGCCCAATTCAGGGGCCGCTTCAGCCAAATCCGCGCACAAGATTCCCATGGTTGAAACGGTTTGAGCGGAGCGAACCCCGATTCAGCGGGGCGGGTGTCTGCCTGACCAGGCCCGCTTTTGACTAAACATTCGCAAGCGCCGATGCTGAATTTAATCTCCCAGGGGTTGCACCCTAAGTCGTCGTCGTCGTCGTTGTCGTCGTCGTCCGCAGTGAGCGGTTCCCAGAGGGCCGCTCACCGCGGAGAGGGGCTCTTCTTGTCGTCGTCGCCGTCGTCGCCGTCTTCCGGGCCCCAAAACCGTGTGGGGACGGACCTCGCGGTGACCTCGGAGTCCCCAGTGACCCCACCGCGCGGTTGATCACTTGGCAACCGAAGCAATCTCCAGTAGCGGGCCCTCGCGAGCAGCTCTGCTTTCTGATTTAGATGATACAACCAAAACATAAGCATAAACTGTTGGACCTCCGCTCGGATTTCCTGGATCGGCGCCAAGCCCCCTTACCTGGCACGCGGAGCGCGCCAGGGGCGGCGCCAGAAGTGCCGCCAGGGGGGCCCAGCGCCGATCCGCGTGGAGCTCCAGAATTTTAGGTTTACGCGATTTGCTTGTTAGTCTTCTCTGGGACGGACTGGCCCGGGTCAATGCAAGCCCGGGCTAGTCAGGCCTTGCAAGATCCTGCCACATCCTCCAGGATCCTGCCAGATCCTCAATGCGCCCCTGGTCCTGCAGGATCCTGCAAGATCCGGCGCCCTCTCTGACCCCCATTCGCATTGACCCCCGCCTCTGTGGACGCCCGAAATGGATACGGAAAAAAGGGTACAATGCCCAACCGCAAATGTTACCCAAACCGACAGCGGCCTCCGTGGCGGCGCGGACAGCGAGTCCTGCTGAAGAGGAGCAGGAACTGCTGTTGGGCATCGCACCCGGTCTTTTCGTACCCACTTCGATCGCCCCGAGGTGTCAAGGCGTCCGACTCCGATGTGTTTGGGGAGACCAGAAAGGTACCGATACCGCTGCTCCCCGGGCCTCTCCTGGGGTGCGTTCTGACCAGGATTTCGAAGCGGATCTGGCGGTGGCGACGAGGGCCACCCAGGAGGCCCAAAAAGTGGGAAACGAGGGGAGGGTGGAGGTACGGGTACCTTTTTCTCCTCGGGGTGTCTCTGGCGGGCCGGCGCAGACACGCCACGGAGGCGGGGCAGCACTGCGCCGAGCGCGCGGCGCAGGCCGCGGCGGTCGGCAGCGGGCCCGCGCGCCTGCCCAACGAGGGCACCGCTGGGGGGGGGGGGGGGGCGGGGCGTCACGGCGCCAGCAGGCGGCGCAGGTTCCACCCGACCATGATGCCGCTGGTCATGGTGAGCATGGCGATCACCAAGATGGCCCTCAGCAAGGCGGGGGCTAAACCGCGTGTTCCGGTTTCGCTCGGTGTTCGCTCTCCCTCCTTCTGCCGTCGTTGCGACACTGGTGCAACACGAAAGACCAGAACGAAGAGAGTCCACGGAATCGCCAGGACACCGTTTGGCTCCAACCCCCGGCCCTCGGTGGGGCGCCCCCAGGTATCCGAGATTCCGAGAAACACCGGAACGACCAATTCGGCGATTTTGGGGGCCTCATGGAGGCCCTCGACTGGCCCCGGAACCGTCACAGAAACGGCTCGGGAGGAAACGCCGGGGTCCAGACCTCCGCGGGTCCACACAGGGAGGCGCGCCAGATGTCTGGGTTGCTCGAGGGGGGGGGGCGGTCAGTGGGGGGGGCGACTGAAAGTACACCTCTCGCGTACCCCTTTGGGGCTCCAGGGGGCAGCGCCTTTCGGGCCCCTAGGGTGCACCGTTCGCCCCCCCTCCCCCCCCAAATTATCGCCCCGGATCAGAGGGGCACCCCGGATTTTTCAACGGGCACCCTCCCCGTGCCACTCGGCCCGGCGGCCCGTTCCAGCCCCCCACGCCCCACCCCACGCGCGCCAGACCCACCCCCTCACGCAATCCCTCCCTCCCGCGTCCAGCGCTGGACGGGCCCATCGCACCCCCCACGCGATGCCCCCTCCTCCTCCTCCTCCTCCTCCTCCTCTTCTTCTTTTTCTTCTTCTTTTCTTCTTCCTCCTCCTCCTCCTCCTCCTCCTTCCTCCCTCCTCCTCCTCCTCCTCCTCCTCCTCCCTCCTCCTCCTCCTCCTCCTCCTCCTCCCCTCCTCCTCCTCCTCCTCCTCCTCCTCCTCCTCCTCCTCCTCCTCCTGCTCCTCCTGCTCCTCCTGCTCCTCCTGCTCCTCCTGCTCCTCCTGCTCCTCCTGCTCTTCCTCCTCCTCCTCCTCCCCTCGCTTAGTGAGCAACTCTGGGTAACCCACGGCGCCGCGCGAGCAACGATCGCACCAGGCGGGGACATACACATATCCACCGCCTAGGGAACCGACGTCCTGGGCCCCCCGCGGGCGTTTTTTTATTTTCAAACAAATGCTTTTTGTGAAAAAAAACTGGGCCCCCAGCGGGCGGTGGGTACTTCTATTGTTTGGCCCCATGGTGCCTGAGTATGTCCAGATCCATCGCCTTCCGAGACCTCTGAAGGTCGATCTCCCTGGCGGTGGCTACGGATAAATCTCCGCCTCGGAAATCGAGAAGGGAAGACGACCTGTGGCGCCCATCAGTCAGGACTGCGGGAGCCTGGCGGTCCTACGCTGTCCTGGGCGCGTGGTTGAAACGTTGTTCCACCACGAGGCGTGTCAGTCACAACTCACGCCCGCCGCGACCTGTGCATCCCCACTCTTCTCGACGACTGGCGGAGCCGTAATGCACATGTTGAAATCGCCAGTGTGGCCACACGGCCGATACGTAGCACCCCGAGGTTAAGAGTGAGGGGGCGGCGGGATCGTCGGCAGTGCGGCGCACCTGGTGCACTCGGAGCACGTGGCGCCCCTGGCACGCGTGGCGCACCTCGCCGAAGCATCGCGCACCTGGGGCCGGCTTTGCTTCCCAATAGCTGCCCATCCAAAGACGACCGCTGAACATGCTCAGGCTCGGGTGTGTTGATGTGTTGTGAGGGCGGATGGGGGTGAGCTAGACGGCTTGCGGGCGGGTGGATCGCTTGACCCCTCCCCTTACCCCGTCCCCTGGATTTGGACGGGGCCGGTCGCGGCGCGCTGGAGCGTCTAAGATGGGCCAGGATGGGCCCAACAGGGCGTCAGAGAGTGCACGATGGCCTCCTTGATGGCTCCAGACAGCACAGGATCGCTCAAGATAGATCCCAAGGTGCCCCGAGAGACCCCAAGACCCCCTCAAGGTGGCTCCAAGTGGCCAAAAAACTCCCCAAGGAGACCCCCATGAGACCAAACTCCTTCAAAACCGCGGGCAAATCAATGTTTTTGGCTTTCTCGGGTGGCCCAAAAGGGCCCCAAGAAGGGCCAAGCAAACCCGAAGACGGCCACAAAAGCGCCCCAAGAGGCGGTCGTAGGCTCTCTGAAGGGCAAGGCTGCTTGGAGTTCCCCTCTTATTGTACCGATGTCTTCCAAGGTGGCTCCAAAAGCGCCACTAAAGCTCCCACGAACGCCCCAAGAGGGCCCCAAGAGGCGCCCAGACGGCTCCAACAGGCGCGTACAGGACCTCCAAGATGCTCCCAATAGACCCCCAAGAGGCCTCAAGATAATCCCCAAGGCGTCCAAGATGCTCAAAGGAGGACCCTGGGCCCGCCAAGATGCCCCCCCCCCCCTAGACGCTGAGGGGACTCCGAGAAGCATTCAAGAGGCTTCTGGCTCTTCAGTTCGCCCTTTTCCTCCTCCTCCTCCTCCTCCTCCTCCTCCTCCTCGTCCTCCTTCTCGTCCTCGTCCTCGTCCTCGTCCTCCTCGTCCTCCTCGTCCTCCTCGTCCTCCTCGTCCTCCTCCTCCTCCTCCTCCTCCTCCTCCTCCTCCTCCTCCTCCTCCTCCTCCTCCGCAAATTCCGCCTTCTCCCTCCGCCATCATCCCTCCTCCTCCTCCTCCTCCTCCTCCTCCTCCTCCTCCTCATCCTCCTCCTCCTCCTCGTCCTTCTTCTCCTCTCCTCGTCCTCGTCCTCGTCCTCGTCCTCGTCCTCGTCCTCGTCCTCGTCCTCGTCCTCGTCCTCCTCCTCCTCCTCCTCCTCCTCCTCCTCCTCCTCCTCCTCCTGCCGCGAACGATAAAGACTGTCCCTCATTGTGTTCCTACGCTTCCATGGTCTTAACTCGCCAGGGCGTCGGTGTTGGATGAGCTGGTGGGGCTATTTGCTGTTGATCGCGAGCGCAAACGGAAGGGCCGCGCGCCGTCCAACCTACAGCTAACCAGCAGGAGCCTAACTTGCAAACGAGAAAGAGGAGACAAAAAACAACAGGAGAACAACGGGAGGTGAGACTAGCCGGGGCGGGCCGCGCGGCGCTCACGGAGGGGGTGTCATCGGCAGCTAGCAAC